TGATAGACCATTTTCTTGAGCAAGTTGGGTAAGTGCTCTGTGCTTTTTAAATGGAAGATACCATTGTAGAACTGTGGTGAGGAATAAATGAAGACATATATGTTGATACATAAAGCATCATGGCGTCTGGCCTAAACTGCCAAGTTACATCTTACTTGAGAGTATGGCAGGAATCTAAAGTCATCACACATGGCAACAAATGAAAACAGCCAAAATTATCTTTGAAAATCTCTTATGCCACCAGATAATACAATACACCTGGCTTTGTGAATTAAGTCCCATAGAGTAATATGCATGTATGAACATATTATATATACTAACATACACTATATATTAATGCATACATATGCAAAATATAATTTGAGAATATTTTAATTGCATAAAAGAGAGACAGGAAATTGCATAGACAGACAGGAAAATAAACATATAAGGCACACATGATGGATGTGACTTCATTATCAGAGAGCTCCCGGCAAACTTTAGGTTCCCTTAAAATTTTCAAAAGCTAGTTGAAGAATCCTATGTGTTTTTTTAAACAACATTAAAAAATAATCTTATTCCCATTTTTACCTATTATTTTTATTTAATCATAAATTGGAGGGAGAGGGGACAAAGGCTTCTCCCTCAGACCCCCCAATACTCCTGTCCTGTCCTCTAGACCTCAAGAGGAAGAAGTGACAGAGACATGGCTTTACCAGTAGGGGTCGCTGCACTGAGAATTAATCCCTATGAGTTTCTCATTAGTGATTATTATACTGCAGGCGGCCAAAATGGAAAAATTAATTAATTTCAAAGTGATAATGCATTTACAGCAACAATTAGAAATGTATAACTGTAAAAGGGCAACATTTAAAAGACAGATTACATTTAATAAAGTTGCACAAGAACATCCAATTGTAAAATTACTGATCTGCAACAATATTCCTTAAAGAGGCACTTAAAATAGCCTGACTCCATGAAGGGTGACCTAATTACTGTAACTAAAATCACCGTAGTCACAGCAAGTCACAGCAAATAAAAAAGGGACGTTGATATTAGAATACTGCTGTTTAATACTTAAGGGAGCCAGCTACAGTGGAGAAGGGAAGACAGGGCTTCCAAGCACAAGGCTGGGTTATGTTTCTTCTTTCCCTGACCTTGTACAATGGAATGTATACTCCAGCAACACTCATGTCAAAAGAAAAACACATTCTCTGAAGGGAAGTGCAGAGGAGCTATGAAGCACAGACAGAACACTAGCCATCTGGAGATGGAGACATCGCATCTATGCTAAGCTTTTTCTTGAGCTTTTAGGAATCCATCTTTTCACAGGGTGGGAATGGGGGTGCAACTACATGGCTTGTGTCCAAAAATATGTTTGCATTAAAATGGCAGAAGTGCAACTTCATCCACGAAACAAATGTCTTATTGTGATAGAAGCAACGCCAAGCAAAGCCCAGAGGGATAAAACGTGTGTCTTTTCCAATAAGCCCAGTCTGTCCCACCAGTGAAATAGAGTGATCCTATCTACGCTCACGCCGACTCCTCTCCCACATACAGACTCCTAAATGTTTATGGAAGAGAAGTGATTGGTTGTGAGTTTGACAAGTAAGTCCAGAGTTCCCATTCCACCCCTTAATAAACCTAGTCATGTGGAACTCTGATGGCTAAGAAATACCAACAAACACCTAAATATATAAAGATATTATTACAGAGGATTTTCCTAAGAATCTCAACTTAGCTGCATATTTCATAACCTTCCTAATCTATATGCTGATCTAAAAAAGTGCATTTGCGGCACATAAAAGATGCTATTCTCCAGTTAACTGGGGATGGACACATGGAAATTCCACTTCATAATGGCTTCCTCAGGGACTGGATGTACTATTGGAGACCACTAAACCAGGCTCTCTCCATCTAGACACCCTTCCTGCCTTGGCAATAACCCTCTCCCTAGGCCTTTGGGGCCAGCAACAGAGGTCCCCCAACCACCAGTACCACCAGACTCCCAATTTAGACTCCTTTAGTCTTCTGACCCTTGTATCCATCAGCAGCAATTGCATTTTGGAGAATAACCTTCAGGACCAAGGTAATACTCACAACAATAAGAAAAACAACCATCATGGCAAGAGGTACTGCATACCTACTTATACAACAGACACTGTGCTAGGCACATTATTTAACTCTACTTTCCAATATGGCAGCCATTAGGCACATGGGGCCATTTAAATTTAAATTAATTAAAAATTCATCTCCTCAGTTGTATTAGCCCCTTTTCAAGGGTTCAATAGCTACACGTAGCCCGTGGCTATCCTTTCAAATAGCCAGATTAAAGTCATTGCAGAAATTCTATATCCATTATTATGGTTGTTAGATCCGTTATTGTCAACCCTCACACCAACCTGTATTGCCATTTTGGTGGCTCAGAATGGTTAATTGTCTTACCCAAGCTACCCCAGTTCGTAATGGTAAAAGCTAAGCCTTGACCATTAGGATCATTAGCAGGAAAGTGACTTGGTCCACTGCCCTAGGTTGCTACTTTGTAACTGTTTCCCCACCAGGTAGCCATGTGGAATCCCCTCTCTAGGACAGCGAATGTACTTACCTCCCCTCCCTACTAGGAACATTCCAGCACTCCTGATACAATTAGGCAAAACCTGGGTCTTTGGTGACATCTCCACTTTTTCTCCACACCCTCTCAAGGGTTATCTGCTCATTTTCCCACATCCCTCTCATCCAGGGCCAGAAAGACCACTCCTTGTTTTATCTGTTGCCCAAGGCTGCTCCCAGCAGGCTGAAGCACAGGGGACCAGGGGAGGGGGACAGCTGAGGCCTCTGCACACTGGCTGGGAAGCAGGACTCAGACATTCAGGCTGGGCATCGGGCATCATTGGGATGAGCTCCAGGTGTGGTCGTTCACTGAGTGCCAACCTTCTCCTAACTCTCCATGCCTCCAGGGCTGTAAGGCAACACTGCTACCTCCATTTTCAAATCCACATTCTGCTTCCCCACTTAGCTTGAGTCCTGACCATAGTTACCCCTCAAACAGCAACAGTCTGATATCAGGACACGGTTGCTTGCCCAACTTAATTTGCTGGCACTTTTAGAAATCCCCCTATTAGGTGCAACAAGCCAACAATCAAGCCTGACTTTGCTAAACACATTCTAAGTTAGGTAGTAGACAATAATAGACTCCTCCCCCCAAAACAGAAACAGTCACTCTGTCTTTTATTTTACCAGATCCTGTCTTCCTCCCCCTCCCACCTGCCCTTGTCCAGAGTCCCTAAGCCCTGGGATCCCATCACAGAATAATAGTTTCTATCATTTTCTGTCAAAAAGCCCTCAGCCACGGGAGTCCACACCAAATGGGGAGATGGTTACACCACCCTCCATCATATTCCTTGTACTCCAGACCCACCTCTAAGTCTTTCTCATCACATTCTTCTGATTGGAATAATCCTGGAGGAAGAAAAAACCTAAACTCTCTGATGTCATAGAAAGGAGTTCCTAGCTCCTATCAATGAACAAATACAAGTGAGAAAATTCAAGAACCAAAGATTTCAAATTATATTGGATGATTGGCCTGTTGGTCTTGAAGGCTCAGGGCCAGCAGAAAATGAAGAGAATGCTCCTCTCTTCTCTCCTCCCTCCTGAACTTGGACAGTTCATCCTCACTCCTGTCAACGGCACTGGCACCAGTTCAGACCCATATGCTTTCCTCTGACATCTATTGAAGGCCCTAACCGAGTACGAGCCAAAATCATGTGCAGAGAAACCCTCGTAGGGAGCCTACTCTTATGCAGTGGAAGGCCAGATGATGGGAAAACTTCAGAACCCTGTGATGCACATGGCAAGGGGTTTCCTTCTTTCCTTTTGGATATCAACTCCACCTTGGACTTGGAGAACTGCTCTCCATGGATCCTCTCACTTCCTCTGACTATGTTGGCTTTGCATAAGAACCATCATAGAATAATTAGATTACAATAAAAGACACACTTATTTATTTTCTCCTAAGCAGTTCAAAAGATTTTTGTTGTAGTTTTAAAAGTCATCCACAAACACGAAGGTTAAGGACGGCCGGTTGGAATGACTGCCAGAGAAGAAGGCAGACCGTGTTCAGAGGCTGTGGGGTCATTTGCCCAGGAAGTTGGAGATGATGATTTGACTTATGACACTCGTAAAGGCCAAAATGTGTTTGGGGAATGGGTTATTTCTGAGGATTGGATGTTACATTTGGTTAACTTGAATAGCGGCATCCAGTAATAGGAAAACATTTTCAAAGGCCTATGGATTAGAAAAGTACTACACCAAATATAATGTGTAAAATGTGCATTCTTCATTCAAACTACTTCTTACTAAAATGCTTTCATGGAAGAAGTTTCTAGATATGGTTGTTATACGATCAACAAAAACGTAAAAACTTCATATTTACCTTTGTGAACATTTCCAAATTTAACCTCAGGAGTGTGATTCATTCAAAGGATTCATCTTTGGGGAAGTAAAAATAAAACACACTTCTAGCCAACGAAGGATTCTCCAGGAGAAATTTACACTCATTAAAAGAAGACTTTAGAACATCAGACACAGATTCTCAATGGAAACAAAGGAATCACATCTACTGATAATTCAATAGTCATAAATCCAAGTTTTTCACTTACTAACACAAAACAGTTTTCAAGCACTATGCTTGCTGAATCATAATAAAGAAATCACATCAAAAGACAACAGCCATCTCTATCAAGCTTTTCAGCCATACTTATAATACCATATCGAAAAACCACATCTTGTATCCAGACCTCCGAGATATCTTTAGAGAAACAGATGTAATCTAAAGTCGATTGAAATGTGTTCAAGAGCCCTTTCCAATGGCTTTAATAGGCCTGATGATGTGATTATCAGGACCAGACTCATCATTACAAGAGGCAAGAGGCTGAAGAAAACACACGCTTCTGGGTTTCTCTAGGACCCTTTCCACACACGCACACTCAAAGTGTTTATAGCAATAGAAGCCGTTCACTTACCATGGACTTGGTGAAAGGCCTGGCCAAGGTAAACAGCAGTGTGTACACCCACCAGTTGCGATGAATGGAGGAGTACATCATATTTCCAGGATGCACCGCATTCGACGTGACCCCACGCGGAGAGAGGCGACGATGGAGCTCATTGGAGAAGAGAATGTTGCACAGTTTGGACCGGTTGTAAGCCAGCATGGCCCAGTAGTCACTTTTAGATGGAGAAAGTCGGCTAAAGTCTAGTTTTCCCGAGGAATCGTTAATATCGGTAAATCTAAAAGAATAGGAAATATGACATGAAGCGGCCAATCTCTGACTTCTGATACAGCTTTTTATTTTTATTAGAAATCTGAGGAAACTAAACAGAGCCTACTGAAAACTCAATTGTGCAAACATTGGAACGAAGTCTCCCTTAAAGGTAGACAATGGTGATTTAACAATATAAGCCAATTGGATCCAAAGATAGATTTAATAAAGGCCCAAACTCATAAATGGAGCTGTCTTAACATGCTGCACTCCCCCTGCCTCTAACATATATTTTTCAAAACCTTCAACGGGAAGTTCAAGGATAATTAAATTAAACAGAAAAGCATCTTAAATAGAGGGCTGCTGCTTTTGGAAGCAGAAAGATATCACATTCCTAACCTTTGACGGGGCTTTCCTGGGTTATTTTAGCCAACCCTTGAGCCCTCTGTATTTTCATTTGAGCATCCAAGTAAATATAGATGAGTCTTGCTGCCTCCAAGACTCTTTTCCAGATTAAAAATTAATGATTATAAAGGGGTTATAACCTTGGTGAGGTGCCATCGATAGTCTTATATGTTTAAAAGATAAATGTAAACAAGGCCAAAATGAGTTCTGGCAGAGTCTACTGTTTTTAAGTATACCCATGGCATGGATACGCACAAATCAAAGTAAGTAGTTGATGTTTTATAATTGGGTCTGACGGAGTCGTTAAACACCAGCTGTTTGTTTCTTTCCCTTTTTTTCTCTCTCTTTCTTCTTCTTCTTTTTTTTTTTTTAAATAACAACAAAGCAGTGACTGCTCAAAAAAAAAAAAAAACAGATCGTAACAAAAGGAATTTTCTAGATGGTGGTCTCTTCTTTGTTGAGGACCCCTCATAATTTGTGTCACTAAATTAACTCTGGGCATTTGCTCTGAGTAATAAGAAGCATTACGAGAGTCCTCTAGATCACTGCTATGGAAAACAAAAGGTAAAATGAAAATTACAGGAGAATCTGGTTGTTCCTTAAAATGAGCGGCTCCGGTTGAGCTACAACCAAGAAAAGCATCACAGGGGCAGATGAAATTCACGTTTTAGTGGAATTTAAACATCCCTTTTTCAGGACTCCATCAGTGACATCCAATTTCTAGTGTTAAATGACATTGCTGCTCTAAAGTCATCAACAAAGCTGACGGCCACAAATGTCATCATGGATCCAGCAATGAGACCTTGAAACTAATTGTTGGCTGCCGGTTTCCAAGTCCCCAAACCACAGGAAGAGCCCAGAACTTCTGAGCCTAATCATCTAAGGCAGTGGGACTTAGCGGGAAATTTGAAACTTTATGGGGGCCTTTTTCTGGTTGTCATAATGATCACCGGCAGGGGCCGGGGATGGTAGATGTCCCGCAATGCAGGCAGCATCTTGCTTAACGCAGACAAGCTCCACTGGACATTCATGTAGATGAAAAGCCTCAGTATAATTATCTGAGCCTGGAGCCTCACTGTGTTTTACGTACATCCACAGTTTTTATATCCACTGCATTTCCAGGAGTGTAGTGCAACAACCACGTACATGAAGAATGAAAGCACTTTCAGATTTTGTGGGTTCTGGGGGAGATGAGGCTTGACCAGATGCTAGTGGTATTTGCCGCACACCTGTTAACAGTCTGCATTTGCAAGTGATTTATGGGTGGACACGCACATCTGATTACTTACCTTTCCTGTAGACCTGCCCAAGCATTTACATGTTGAAACACATGCTATTTTGCCTCACATTTTTAAAATTTATATTACAGTTAGGCAAGCATATTGAATTAAAATGTATTTGTGTAGGGAAGTTATTTCTGAACTTTATTTCAACATAGTAATAAGGCATTACAGGAAGAGCTGTTAAAAAGGACTGTTGAGTTGAAACCCAATGATCCAAGATATGGTCCATGTCTTAGAAATCCCACCTCCTCTGAGTAGAAAAGAGCATTAGAAATTTAGACACTATCTAGAAGGTATGGGATAAATATAACAGTCTCCACTCTCACTCTCTGCTTTTCTTTCATTACCCGTTGCTGATAACATTTCTTGGCATTTTTGTTTAGCCCCACCCAGCTCAGGAGCCATTTCTTCCAGGAAGCACTCCCTAATTAACTCTTGAATTGCTGGATGTCACAATGATTTCGTAGGTGGCAGTGGGAGATAGATTCACAGAAGCCATGCAAAGGAGATTGCAAAACAAGTTTCCATGGAAATGAAGTATCCATTCTCCAGGACCCAGTCTATGATACTCCTCGTGTTCAATGACCCTGCCACCCTCCAACATCAGTAACAAAGCAAGTCATGTCACCTTTGCATTCTGTCTGTACATTGTGCCTCAGTCCTTACCACACCACATTGTAAGTCATTTGTCCACCTGTTTTCAACCCTAGACTGTGAATTTCTGGAAGGTGGACAGATGTTGCCTGGCACACGGCACAGACTAAATACTGGATTAGAGGACTGAAGTTTGATCATAGCTTCGGAATTCCAAACGAAGGGCCAAGTTTCCTTATTACAAAAAGATTTGTTTTGATCCCTGCTCAAAAGGGGAAATTTACCATAAGTTCAGATCCTCTATGTTCCTCATTAATATGTGCATGTGGCACTTTTAATGTTTAAAATGAGTTTAGAATGAGAAATTAGATGGAACCAGGTTCCAGGAACCAGATGGAAGGAAGGTTTCAAGATGGAGGAGCACAGCCAAATATAGGCCCGCCTTCTGCAAAGGCACCCCCACGCCCCGCCCCCCCTGCCCCGCCCATAAGCCCATGAGTGGACCCCTGATCTCCTGCCCTGAGGCTGTCCTGGGCAGCAAACTCATTTTTAAGGTCTGACTAGCTTGTCTTCACAACCCCCCAGGAAGCAGGAAGGGTAGGCAAGCTTTCTGATTCCCCTGAGCCAGGGCAGGCTTCCTGAGAAACGACCATGTTCACTCTCTCTCAGCTGAAGAGGCAAACAACTCTTCACAGGCCGCCTAGTCTATCTTCAAGTTGAAAACTTGACAGAGCCAAACAACGAAGTCTTAATAGCATTATCCTCCTACGAGCACACTAAAATGTTAACATTTGATTTCTGGACATTAACATTTGCTGTTTGAGGGGACCTCTATCTTATATTTCTATACATACTGCTCCTTTATTTTTTTTTAACTGAGGATTTTTCAACTACCAAACTAAAATAATTAGGCTGGATTCTATGCAGACAAAAGCTAGTATGTTCAAAGAATAGGACTATACTTGCATCAGAAACTCTGTGAGTGTGTGAGTGAGTGTGAGAGTGTGTGTGTGTGTAGCAACTTGACACTCAACACAGCTGCAGCCATTTAAAGTGGTTGAGTCCGGGCTCCGTTCTTTTCATTCCATTTTAATTGTGATCTGAAAAATTTTCACAGCAAGGAAGTCAAGTTCTCATTTGAATATGATGTATTTTAGGTATGCAGAAACTCACTTCACTTGCTCAGACTCCAGATAAGTAACTAAAATACAGTGAAGACACAGGGAGGCTAATAAATATTTTGCCTTGGGGCAGTCTGGTATAATATTTTCTGCAAACATAGGACTTTATTTTTCCCCCAACAGGGGGTCTTGACTCCAACGAAGAGATTCCACCAAGGTTTATGGAGGTAATTAGATATCAACACTTCCATTTTATAACATGGTTTAGTGCTCCGGGTCCTTGAGCAGTGAGTGAGGACTTTGCCAGTACTGCGCACCCAGTATTCACACCAGCTCTTGGGTGCCATGGGCAGCAGTACAAGGGTAATAAACAAACCAGCTTGGGGGAATGAACATTCTGAAAAATACCCTTTAATATGTGGAAAGGATAATCAGAGAGCAGAAGACAAGCGCCAATCATCAGACAGGAGTGGGCCCGATAACACATTTCAGGAAGACCTTGTCTATAAACTAAAATGGATCTAATTCAGGAGAGCAAGGCCCTACTTTCCCATCCACCTTTTAAATGAAATTAAGATTCAGATCTCCAAGGTAGGCATGAATTACACAGCAGTTAAGGAGAGAACAAAGACGTCACATGAAATACCATTTGAGATACAGATTTACAAAGGGAAGGGAGCAGCTGACAATTCAACATAATCTCCCATTAAATACCAGCTCATTTAAACATATCCCGTGGTGCCCTCCACATCTGGCAAACGAGTGGGGCTGGCAGATTTATTTCCAGAGCTCGCTCTCCCTCGCCTGCCTCCACAGTAGCCTCCCTCACTCCTGAGCAGGGCCACTCCACTTTCTTTCACAAACCTGGTGTGATTTGCAAAGATAAGGGTATCCAGATTTTGTTACCACCTAATTACTAGATGTTTCATGTCTTTTAAGGCAGGGGAGGATTATTACTGGCATTTTCCTTTCATTTCAGCCACCATAAATTTAAAGTGGTAAAACTAAATCTATCTGCAGTGTGTCACTTATACCCTAAGCCCCTGTGTTTGGGAGTGATAAAGGGTTCTGGCTAACCCTTGGCTGGTCTCTCTCTTCCGAGTCCCAGGGGTTACATTTTATGGAAGCATGATTAAAAAAATAAGCTTCATTCCGGGTCACTAAAACATTTCAGGACTTAAGACGCAGGAGAAGGGGAGAAAAATAGGCCCTTGCACATTATTTTTTTCCAGCCATTTTGCTGAGAGGGAAAGCTCCCAACCACACCAGAAAATCTCCCTGACATGGATTAAATCCAGGCTCACCCAGCAAGTCCTTGGTCTCCTCCCAGTCCTTCTCTTAAGACAAACAGTTGTTTATCCAACTCTAGAAACAAATATGCTGCAAATACAAGGAAATTTTCAAGTGTCTTTTTAGTCAATTGAATATTCTCCTAATGGTAATAGAAAAGAAGTGCCATCTGATGCTTTAATTGAATTTTTAACCAAAAGAGGCATGGCCAGATTTCTAATATGTTCTAACTACAGTACTTCCCTTTCTACAATTACACAGCTAATGTCTGCATTGAATTCCCTAATTTCTCATTATAAAACAATTGGATTTCATCTCTCCGTCCTTAATTGCATTGTTTCTCCTGCTAAAATAACGGCACATTCTTCTTGGTGAGACGTTGAAGTTGTTGAATGACAAATCAATAAAGGTCAGGCATTCAGATTTAATCAATTATTATTCCATCTCGAAGCAAAATCAATGAGGGGCTTGAAGTACAGTTGTAAAAACAGTCCACGTTACTGTAGACAATACCCCCCAATAATCCCCCACGATCACAAAAGAAGGCCTCAGAAAATTAAGTAAGCTAGGTTGAATACACCCACACTTTTAAGGGAAAGATTAATCAAAATTATTTGCAGAAAGAGAGGCTTGGCAAAGCATTAGTTGGTTTGAGGAAGGGGACAAGTGAAGAAAACACCAAATTTGAACTCACCTATGGGACTCCGAGGAGACCACAACGACCCTGGCAGGGGCTGAGCAGCACAAGACATCCTGGAGGAGCTGGACGAGGAAGAAGTGCCCCAGGTGGTTCACCTGGAAGGTGGTCTCCAGGCCATCTTTTGTGAGGCTCCAGGGTAGAGCAAAAGCTGCTGCGTTGCACACAAGCACATGAAGAGACCTGAAAAATAAAATAGCCAAGGTCATGTGGATGTAAACACTCTCAAACCAAGGATGATCCATGCTCCCTTGGGAATAACCAGTTCCTTGCTGTCTTCAAGTTTCCAATGAGTTGGAAATGGGATGCCCTAGGATGTCGCATCTTCAACCATTCTGCTGGGGAAGGACTTGGACCTTGAGTGCACACCTGTCGTGGGTTGCTGGGGATAAGGGGGTTCCTGTGACGTGAGGCTTCCAGTGCTAAAACCGGGACAATATCAGGCCAGGTTCTACCGCCTAATTGAATCTGTGCTTCTTAAACCATCCAGTTCTCAGCTTTTTTGCCTGTAAATCAAAATAGCCTTTAAAGTTGTTATAAGGAATAAAGGAGATAATATGCTATAAAAGGGCAGACACAGGAACCAGCACTTCGTAGGTGCTAAGGAAACATATCAAGGGGGAAAGGCTCTGTCTAAAGAGACAGACACATGTTGTTTAAATATATGTTTTTAGAGGTCAGATGAAATCTATATTTTAGAAAAAGCCAGGGGGTAGGTAAGCAGAAGTCTATTATATTTTCTCTTCTTTTCTACATATTTAATTTGTTTCATAGTAAAATTGTTAAAAATAAAAGCCATTCATGTGAATCAAAATCCCAAATCCTCACAAAGAAATTGTACTTGTGGGAAATCATCCGAAGGTACTAATACGAATTGTAAAAAGAAAATAGACTCAAGGCCAGCCACAGTCTTTGTAATTGCAACAGAAAAGCAACAAATTACAAATAAAGTAAAAGTACAATTGGGAAATAATTAAATCAATTCAAATAGATGCAGGTGATAGAATACTATGCAGCCATTAAAATGATAACGAATAAACCAATCTGCTGACCCTGTAAAACATTCAAGTTATAAAACCAAATGTATAATATTGTATGATCACATACACACACACAAACAATGGTGATGAAGTTTACTCAAAAATGTTAGCAGTAGTTTTCTTTAGGGGTAAGTGGAAACGAAAATGTCCTACATTGTTTTATTTCTAAGTTTATCTGTATTTTATTCCTTGTTTCCATAATTAACATGTGGTATCTTTATAACAAGGAAAAATGCAATCAAATAAATGCTTTATAGGAAAAAAAAGCATTTCAGGAATTTAGCTAACACATACAGACTGAGAAAAAGAGACAGGGTGGGGGTTTATAGGAGCACTGAATTAACAGTTCAAAGATGTGCATTTTGTCCCACTTTCAGACAAAACACCAAAGTCTTTGAGTTTCTCATTCCTTCTCGTAAAATAAGGGGCTGGAAATTGATGGCACTCAGTTTCCTCCCATAGCTCAAATTCCACGTCAATGGCTTGTAGGTAATATTTCCTATGTTATATAGAAACAAAATATTTCCTATACTTCCATTAAAAAAAAAAATCCAATGTTCTTTTTGTAGAAACTTTTCATAGAGCTAATACTATTTGCAACAATCTCATTTTGTTCCCATCCTCATGGAAAACAGTAGCCTAAGAGTCACAAGTTTTTAAAAAGAAACTTGGAATGCAGTTAAGGGAAGCATAAAGAAAAGTCTTTCTAAAAATAAAATTAAGCTGTTGTCTAAAGAAAGTAAAAAAGAAACATAATGGCAATGATACAAAGGACTCATATGTTTATTATACAGAGCGTTTACAAATCAATAAGAAAAATATATTCTAAGAGCCTAACAGAAGAATTGAAAATGACATTTAAAAAATTTATAAAACTAGATTACAGAATAACTAGTACAAGATTTAACATTTTAAACCCCATTAGTGGCAAAAATTAAAATAAGATATTTTCTGCCCATTAGCAGATTTATTTATATTATTATATTTGTATCACCTCATATAAAGGTGGTGAGAATATATATTCCCACACCCTGAATATTAAGTTGAAAATATACAACATGAGACTTAGAATGATTCACATTATTTCATGCAATAATCCTGTCTCCAAGCAGTGGAGTATGTAGGCAGCAGTGCAGAGGCAGAAGCTCATACCTTTAGGGAGAGAGATTTTATCACTGATAATGTTTAGACTTGCCATTGCAAGATGATAATAAAAAGCAGACCAACTTTTAGTCAGTTTTATTATTGGCTTTGAATTCTCCACAAACAATGCTTCCTCATTTTGCCTGTACACGGCAGACCGTCGCACAGCCACCTCCTGTCCCCTTGATATGCCCTTGCTCCTGTAGTGGGTTAAATGGTGGACTTCAAAACATATGTCCACTAAGAACCTGTGAATGTGACCCTATATGGAAAAAGGGTCTTTGCAAACATACTTAAATTCAGGATCTTGAGATGAGATCATCCTGGATTAAGGTGGAACTAAATCCAACGATGAACGTTTTTTACAAAAGAAGACAAGGGCAGAAGACACACAGAAAGAGATGTGAAGGCAGAGGCAAAGACTGAAGTGATGCATCTAGTAGCCAAGGAATGCCAAAGATGGTCCTCCCACACCAGAAGCTAGCAGAAGGGCATGCAGTAGATTTCCCTCAGGGCCTCCAGAAGGAACCAACCCTGCAGACACCTTGGTTTCAGACTTTGGGCCCCCAGAACTGTGATAGACTAAATTTCCATTGTTGTAAGCCACTAAATTTGTGGTAGTTTGTTACGGCAGCCCTCAGAAACTAATACACTTTCCAAGATTCTTTCTTAAGGAAATAATAAAAATTTGTATAAAAGTTTATACATAAGGATGAGTAATAATTATACATAAATGAGCTAGATTTATAAAATTGTATGACCTAGAAGCAACTTAAAATCCAACAACAGAAGAACGGATAAATCAGCAATGATTAAGTCAGAGGTTCCCAAATTTCTCAATTTAATTGAAAAAGCAGGAAATCAAATTTTGTATGTGTGATTCCTATCCTTTCCCCCCCAAAAAGTTTTCTATACATACAGTCAACAAGACAGAAAATAGAGAAAAATGTTAGCTCTGGATGTGTGGGATATCATTAGAGTACTTATTTCTTTTTTATAGTTTTTGGTATTTCGTAAATTTTCTACAATAAACATGAATTAATTTCTTAAAGAATTTACTGAGATATAATTCACATGCCATGACATTTACCCTTTTGAAGTGTACAAGCAAGTCACTGGTTTCAGTATATCCACAGTTATGCCACCGCCATCACGTTCCAATTTTACAACCTTTTCATGTCCCCAAAAGGAAACCACATATCCATTAATAGTCACTAACCACTCTCATTCCCAAGAGACCATTAATCTGCTTTCTATCCTATAGACTTGCCTATTCTGGACATTTCATATGAATAGAATCATAAAATATGTGGTTTTTTGTGACTGGCTTTTTCACTAGGCATAACGTTTTCAAGGTTCATCCTCATTGCAGCATGTATCAGTACTCCATTGCTTTTTATGGCCAAAAGATATTCCGCTGTATGGATATTTCACATTTCATTTAACCATTTGCCAGTTGATAGACATTTGGGTTTTTTCCACTTTTTTGCTATTATGAATATTGCTGCTATGACCATTCATTTACAAGTTATTGTGGGGACATATGTTTTTATTTCTCTTGAGTACATATGTAGGAGTGGAATTGCTGGGTCATATGGTTATTTCTCTGCTTAAGTTTTTGAGGGACTGCCAGACTCTTTTCCATAGTGGCTGTACCATTTTACATTTCCACCAGCAATGTATTAGGACTCTAATTTCTCCACATCCTTGCCGCTATTTGCCGTTATCTGGTTTTTTTATTTTAATTTTAGCCACCTTAGTGATTACGAAGTGGTGCCTCATTGTGGTTTTTATTTGCATTTACCTAACAACTAATGATGTCGAGCATCTTTTCACGTATTTATTGGCAATTTGTATATCTTATTTGGAGAAATTTCTATTCAGATGTGGTGCCCATTTTTTAACTGCGGTATTTATCTTTTTTTCTTCTCCCCAAAGCCCCCCAGTACATAGTTGCACATTCTAGTTGTGAGTGCCTCTGGTTGTGCTCTGTGGGACGCCGCCTCAGTGTGGCCGGATGAGTGGTGCCATGTCTGCACCTGGAATCCGAACTGGCGAAACCCTGGGCTGCCAAAGCAGACCGCGTGAACTCAACCACTCTGCCATGGGGCCGGCCCCGAGGTATTTATCTTTTTATTATTGAATTGTAAAGTTAGTTACATATTTCAGATACAAGTCCGTTATCAGATGTACAATTTGCTGATAATTCTCTTATTCTGTAGGTTGTCTTTTCACCTTCCTGATATCGTCATTTGTAACACAAAAGTTTTCGATTTTGATGAAACAAAATTTATATATACTTTTTCTTTTGTCAGTTGTGTTTTTGGGGTTGTGTCTAAGAAAGCACTCCCTAACCCAACATCACAAATATATACTCCTCTCTTTTCTTCTAAGAGTTTTATAGAGTTTACATTTAGATCTATGATCAAATGTGAGCTAATTTGCATGTATGGGGAATGAAAGGGATCTAACTTCATTCTTTGGCATGTGGACATCCAATTGTTCTAGCAGTGGTTGTTGAAAAGACTATTCTTTCCCCCATTGAGTTATCTTGGCATCCTTGTTGAAAATCAATTGACCACCGGAAAGAGTTTACTTTTGGACTCTCAATTCTCTTCATTACCTATATGTCTATGCTTATGCCAGTACTCCAATGTCTTTATCACTGAAGCTTTGTAGTAAATTTTGAAATTGGGAAGTGAGAGCGTTCCAAATTTGTTCTTCTTTTTCAAGCTTCTGTTGACTATTTAGGGTCCTTTGCATGCACATATAAACTTTAGGATCAGCTTTTCAATTTCTGCAAAAAAAGCCAACTGCAATTTTCATGCGGTTTGCTTTAAATTTGTCGCTCAACTGGGGCCAGCCTGGTGGCATAGTGGTTAAGTTTGCACCTTCCTCTTCAGCAGCCCAGGATTCACAGGTTCAGATCCCGGGTGTGGACCTAGCACCACTTGTCAAGCCATGCTGTGGCAGCATCCCATATAAAATAGAGGAAGATTG